ATCGTCTTACGATGCCTTCGATATCTATGTTTGGAATCGAATTTGGGGGAGACCATACTTTGCATTTGCACTTAGCATTCGACCACCAACACTTGGGTCGGTTTGTATATTTTTTCTCATATTTTTTTTTTTTTTTGATAACCAGGAGGTTCGTTGGGCCTTCGGCCCACTTAATCCCCCTGGGCCCGGAGTCAGCCTTTAGACACGCAATTAATTGCGCCCCCTCCTCCCCACCAGTGGATTCGAACCCAAGACGTCGAGGATGACTTTGTCACCTCTTCGCCACTGGGCCGCCACTGTTGGGTCAGCCTTTGTCACTTTTCTCATATTATATACATGTACACGACCGATTGTTGTTGTTTGTGAAAAAACACTTGCCTGGATCTCGATGAGAACTGTGGAGTAAGCGTAGGCAAAGGCGATATTTCCGAGGGCCTGAAACGTTCTCCAGACCTTCTCCGACGCCGATATCTCCGGCCCTACCTGCACTCCCGTCATGCTCGTCTCGCCAATCTTCCCACCTTTCATGGTTACGAACCCTCTCGTTCTCAGTGTTTTTTTAAAAATATTTACGTATGCATTTAAAAAAAAATCAAATATTATCCAAGAGCGAATATCTTGTACCTGCCACGGTGGCGATGGACAGTCCGACGCCGATGGATGCGTAGACGAACGACATGACGGCGGCGAGGGTAGAGAGGAACGACAGCTTGTGGAAATTAGGGATTTGGCTCAGAATTATCTGAACGATCCCGAACGCTGCCATGTACGGATAGTGCGACGTGACGCAATCTGCCTTGTGCCCCTTCCCATGGTAACAGTTTGATCTTTGGACCGCCCTGTTCGCATACGTTATCGTTTTATAAGTATTTATATTAAAATATTAGGTTTATTGATTTTTCTTTTTTTGTAACACAAGTGAAAATTATTGCATACTTGCTTACACTAAGCTTATGGAGGCGGTGATGGTGTAACCAATTGTGATGCCTATGAGATTCCCGTACTGTGCCACTCCACAAAACTGCACCTTTCTACCACCTGTTAGTCATTTATTTGTTCATTAGAATCTCATTTCGTAAAAAAATTAATCGATTATACAAACCATGCATATGCCCACGATTTCTTTTTTTTTTATAATTCTAAATTTTTTTGTTTTGTCGTGTTAGATTTAAATTTTAACCATGAGATTTTTGTTTCCTACTATGGGCATTTCAAACAAAAAAATTGGATGATTATTACAATATTTTTTTCTCTTAATATCTTCATAGATACAATCTCCATTAAAAGTTACAGATTCTTTTTTAGAGAAACCTTTTTCTCTAAAAAGGAATCCATAACTTAATAAAAAGGATAATTATATAAAGAGTTATATAAGTTAAATTATATAACTAACAATTAATTAATCACCAAAAATCATTGCAATACTTGTAAAAAACTGAGAAAGTTTGAATCCTAACCAACAATTTGTTGACTGGCATAAATAATTACTAAACATTAAATAGGACCAGAAAATTAAAAAAAACAATATCTCGTTCATAAAACCCGACATACTTTTTCCCTCTCACCAAACCACAGCCTAATTATAAGACACAACAGGCTAAGAAAAATCCAAGATTTAGGCTAACTCATATTCACAAGATTAGGCGTACGTTATTTCTTTAAAATACAATAAATAAACAACAAATTTGCCATAGAACCCTAGATTTCTAAGAAATTAGCTAAATTAGTTTTGGAACTTTTTTTGTTTATAGCGACTAAACATTTCTTTGAATAAAATTACTAATCGAATCCAAAATATTTTAAAAAATCTATCCTTTTTTTTATGTTAAAAAAATTTGCCATATAACATTTACTTCTAAACAAATGCTATCATATCGTTCAAAGAAACAGAAAATTTGAAAACCAAATCAAACAAATAATTCGGGCTAGAGATTCTATTCAACCTCCGTTATAATTAAATACTAAAATAATTTGGCAAAAGTTCATATAAAAAGTTAAAAACCTATTCACAAAAAAAAGTTAAAAACCCTGCCAAAAAATTCATAAATTTGTAAAATTTACACACCAAAATCCCGTCATATTAAACCTAAAGAATCCGCATAAAATTATGAATCAAGAAACCCAACTAAGAAAAAATATATATATATATATATACATATATATATATATACATATATATATATATGTATAAAGATCGACAGTAATTTTTATGTTTTATTAAATGTGAGTACCGAGATAAGATCGGACAACGTCCATGTAGGTGTAGTTGCGTTTGCCGGTGACGGGGTTAGGGAAGCGGTAACAGTCGGCGAGCAAGGTGGAGGTGAAGAAAGTGATAACGCTGAAGATGATCAGAATTACGGGACCTGCCACCCATCCCAACTGCGCAATCGCCCCGACCCTATCACCGCCGTTATTATGTGCGCGCTCGCCGTTAGCCACGTCCCCGTCCTCTTCTCCCTCCCGTCGTCGTCGACGAGATTTACGGAGCCGTACTCCGCCGCTAACGGGTCGGAATAACCGCGGTGATGCTCTGTGTTGAGGGCCTTCTTCATGTTCTTGGTGGGTGAAAGCGAGTGGTTAGAGAGAGAAAGAGAGAGTAAATGCAAGGCTTTTGTTTTGTGATTCTCTCAGTATCGCTGTATCTATCTATCTATCTATCTATCTATATATATATGTATGTATGTGTGTATATATATATATAGCAGAGAATTAAAACATCTCCTCTAAAATTTTAGGGCCCTTTTCTCGATTTTTTATTATTTCAAAAATTTATTTAATTTCGTATTGACTGTATTAAATTTTAAATGTCGAAAAGGGAATGAATTTATATCTGTATTAGGTTCTTTTACTATCGTAATCATAATTTAAAGTTTTGGTGTTTGTAG